GAGGAAAGGGGGTGGTGACGACCTAAAAGTTTGGGAACTAGACAGTGGTAATGGTTATACAACTTATGAATGTGCTGAATGCCACTGAGTCGTACACTTTAAAGTAGCAGATTTTATGTTACATGTATTTTATCACTATTTTTTAAAAATGAAGGTAAAATAAATAAATAACTACTGTCCTGTCTTCTAATAACATAGATCAACTTTGCCTGCTGAACTTTTATAAATGGAATCATAATCTTTTGTGGCTGTTTTTTGTTTTGTTTTGTTTTGTTTGAGATGGAGTTTAACTCTTGTCGCCCAGGCTGGAATGCAATGGCACAACCTCAGCTCACTGCAACCTCTGCCTCCCGGGTTCAAGCAATCCTCCTGCCTCAGCCTCCTGAGTAGCTGGGATTACAGGCATATGCCACCATACCAGGCTACTTTTTTGAATTTTTAATAGAGACAGGTTTTCACCATGTTGGCCAGGCTGGTCTCAAACTCCTGACTTCAGGTGATCCACCTGCCTCAGCCTCCCAAAGTGCTGGGATTACAGGTGTGAGCCACCGCACCTGGCTTGTGTCTGTTTTTTTTTTTTTTTTTTTTAAAAAAAAACATGTTAGAATCATGAACACAGCTGAATATAGTTGTAGTTCATTCATCTTCATTGCTGTGGACTATTCCATTGTATGAATATACTAACATTTATCAGTTTCACCATTGATGGATATTTGGGTTGTTTCCTAGTTGGACTATTAAAAATAATACTGCTGTGAACACTCTTGCTCACACTTTTGGTATACAAATACAGTCATGTACCATGTAATGACTTCTCAGTCAACAGCAGATTGCAAAATACAAAGGCGGTCCCCATAAAATTGTAACACTGTATTTTTGCTGTACCTTTCCTGTGTTTAGATAGATACATGAATACATATCATTGTGTTTCAACTGCCTACAGTAATGGCAGGAATTCCAGTGGCCACTGGGGATGCAGCCACTGTATTCAGTACAGCATAACACACTGTACAAGTTTGTGGCCTACAAGCCATAGTCTAGACCCTACAGGCCAGATGTGTAGTAGCTGCACCACCCTGGGATTGTGTAAATACACTCTATGATGTTCACACAACAAAAAAATCACCGAGACACATTTTTCAGAATGTATCCCATCGTCAACTGACACATGACTGTATATGCATTTCTGTTGGGTACATAATTAAATCATACATTTTTTAATGGAGCACACTGTAATATAGCTTTGTAACCACCTTTTTTAAATTTTTTAAATCTTCAGCTCACTCCAGTCTAATCTTTTTTATTTACTATTTCTCAAACTCTCCATACCAATAAGTATTTTCAATAACTATTTTTCACACCTACATAATGTTCCCTTTTAGGCAAATCTGTGCACATACCTTTTCTTTCCAAGTAAAATTGCTGGGTTAAAGTTTTAATGTTTTTTGAATATTAATTACTAAACTGACTTCCAAAAGCATTAATACTACCAGGGTTACTCTGGGATCTAGGGCAACAGCACCAATGACCAACACCTCTTCAACTCTTTTCCTCCTTGTCCCTTTCCTTTTTTGAGTCAGAGTCTCCCTCTGCCACCCAGGCTGGAGTGCAGTGGTGCCATCTTGGCTCACTGCAACCTCTGCCTCCAGGGTTCAAGCGATTCTCAAGCCTCAGGCTCCTGGGTAGCTGGGACTACAGATGCCGTCCACCATGCCAGGCTAATTTTTGTTTTTTTAGTAGAGATGAGGTTTCACCACATTGGCCAGGCTGGTCTCAAACTCCTGACCTCAAGTGATCTGCCCACCTCAGCCTTAAGGGGTGGAGCAAGAATCCAACAAAAGTAATGAGTAGGAGCTATCCTGTAAGGAGCCTGTCCTCTGTACCAAAAATCATGCCAAAGCTTCCCATAGGGGCCATTCTCTCCTTTTTTTTGGGGGGGGGACATAATCTTGCTCTGTTGCTCAGGCTGGAGTGCAGTGGTGCCATCTCACCACAACCTCTGCCTCCCAGGTTCAAGCAATTCTGCCTCAGCCTCCCGAGTAACTGGGATTACAGGTGTGTGCCACCATGCTCAGCTAATTTTTGTTATTTTTAGTAGAGACAGGGTTTCACCATGCTGGCCAGGCTGGTCTCGAACTCCTTACCTCGTGATTTGCCTGCCTTGGCCTCCCTGGGCCCGGCCCCTGCACCTGGCCAGGGCCATTATCTTCTTCATCTCTGCATCCCCAGTGCCCTCTCCAATTCCTGCAAAGATCAAGTGCTCAGGACATTATTTGTTGAGTCAATGACAGAATTTTATGCTCAGGGAGCAAGTCAAAGGAGAAGGTTGCTCACTCTACTCCAAACATGGGCACCTGTAACAAACGACCTTTGCAGAAAAATAAAAATCCCTACAATCCATTTTCCAAAGAACAGCCAGAGTGATCTTTTACATTTTTAACCCAGCTCATGCCACTCCCTTCTTAAAATCCTCCAGGGTTTTCCCACTGAGCTTTGAATAAAACCCAAACAACTTACTGTGATCTCCATAATCTAGCCCCTACTTTCTTCCCTGGACTCATTTCCTACCCTCTGTCCTTTCACTAGATACAAGCCATGCTGAGTCCTGATTTTTAAAAAAACTTGTGTTCTTCCCATGTGCACTATTTTACGCACTTTACGTGTGTTTTGTTCTCACATAATCCTCCTAACAAGTAGGTACTATTATGATCTCCATTTTACAGGTGTGGAAACTGAGGCACAAACAAGCTAAGTAATTTACCCACAATCACATCATTAGTAGTTGGCAGAACTGGGGTTCAAAGCACTAAAAAAGCAGAGTGGGGTACAAGGGCATAGACTTTGGAGACAGACCTAGGAACTCTGCTTACAGACTGTGTATCTTTGCAGAGTCGCTCTTTGTCCCCACTTGTAAACGGGTAAAAATACTTACATTGCAATATTGTTGGGAGATTAAAAATACATGCACTGGCCGGTCGCGGTGGCTCACGCCTGAAATCCCAACACTTTGGGAGGCCGAGGCAGGTGCATCGTGAGGTCAGGAGATCAAGACCATCCTGGCCAACATGTGAAACACTGTCTCTACTAAAAATACAAAAATTAGCTGGGCGTGGTGGTGTATGCCTGTAATCCCAGCTACTTGGGAGGCTGAGGCAGGAGAATCCCTTGAACCAGGCAGTCAGGGGTTGCAGTGAGCCAAGATCGCACCACTGCACTCCAGCTTGGCGTGGAGTGCAAGACTCTGTCTCGAAAACAACAACAAAAAAAACTTGCACCTGGGCACAATGGCTCACACCTATAATCCCAGTACTTTGGGAGGCTGAGATGGGTGGATCACTTGAGCCCAGGAGTTTGAGACCAGCCTGGGCAACATAGCAAGACCCCTTTCTACAAAAAAGTACAAAAATTAGCTGGCCGTGGTGGTGTGCACCTGTAGTCCCAGCTATTTGGGAGGCTGAGGTGGGAGGACAGCTTAAACTTAGGAGGTCAAGGCTGCAGTGAGCTGAGCCTGTGCCCCTGTACTTCAGCCTGGACGAGAGAGCAAGACCCTGTCTTATATATATTTTTTAAATATTTGCAAACACCCTGGCTCAGGAAATACTTAATAAACCGGAATTCCCACCACAGACTTTTATGCTATCAACTTGCATACACAAAGTCAACATGCAGCAAACTGTTCAGGCTACCCAAACCAGATAAATGGCCCCAGGAAGCCCAGGAAAAGACTGTAATCATCTTTATCCACACCCCAACTTGGCCAACGGAGGCTTCTGCAAAGACAAGTGAATAGCCTTCCAGCAAAGGCTAGCTCATTTTAGTCCAAGTGGGAGAGAAAGGGGGCAATCTGGCCAGTGGTTTAAGGGCTGAGTTGGCCCAGCAGAACTGAGCAGGCCTTACCACAGGCTAATGACACCTGGCCTTGGCAAAGGAATGCCAGCTCGGGATTTCTGTAGCTTCAGCCAGCTTTGTCCTTTGTGATAGTGCCACCTAGCGAGGGTCCGGAGGCACTACCTATTCCCGGCAGCTGCCAGGACCACTGCGACAAGGTGTTAGCCATTTAGGCTTAGGATGGGGTATGGGGTCCACCCAAGTCCGCACTCCTTCCATGACTCTGTACAGGAAGTCCATTGTGTCCATCCTCCAACCTCGTCCAGACCCATGGGGTCTAAAAAGCGCGAAAGGCCAGCTACTGACTACCACTTATACATAATAAAACAGTGATCTATTATCATTCGTCATTTCATGGTCTCCTCTCATCGAATCCCTCCCTGGAAACAGGAAAAAACAGGCATCATCCTCATGAGAGCCACTGTACGATGGGGAAACTGAGACTTGGGCGGGAAAGTGATTAACCCAAGGTCACAAAACGCCATCAGAGCCAAGGCTGGAACGAGAATCTACGCCTCTTGCATCCTGGTCCCGGGCTCCTTCCCCGACCACACGCCCCTCATTCAGTGTGAAGATACAGTATGCCCACCCCCACGGGGAGCAGAGGCTCCGGTATCCTGCGCCGAAGACCAGCATGGGGGGCGCAGGATAAAGGCTGCACGGCGGAGACTGCACTTCTTTCTTCTCTAACCATGGAGTGCCGGGTACACTAGCCACGGCTCGGGGGCGGGGGAAGCGGGGCCCGGGGCAGGAAACAGCGTCCTGCGCGGGTAGCCCCTGGGAGCACGCGGCGCTGGGTCACGTGAGAGGGGAGCGCCGGCGAAGGGGCGTCGCGCGCAAGCACGCACCACGTACGCAAACACGCACTGAGGCGCTCACAGAGAGGCAAGCCCCAAGTCCCGGGTCACATGTGGAGGGTGGCAGGCGAGAACAGGGGGGCGGGAAAGACGGAGAGATCACGTGGAGGAGGCCAGAGCAGGGAAGTCACGTGAGGGGGACGGAGGCGGGGCCGCCGAGGAGGAGGAGGAGGAGGAGGAGGAGGAGGAGGAGGAGGTGGTGGAGGAGGAGGAGGGGCGCGCGGCTTCCGGCGGCTGGAGGGGGCCAGTGAGCGGAGGGGGGGGGCCTGTCCCGGAGGTGGCGGCGGCGCCATCTTGGCGAAGGGGGGATCAGGAAGTGCGGACCGCGGCGGCGGCGGCGGCGGCGGAGCCCGGAGCGGAGGCCGGAGGCTCCCGGCCCGCCGGCCCCGGAGCGGAGCGGAGCGGAGGATGCAGCAGCCGCAGCCGCAGGGGCAGCAGCAGCCGGGGCCGGGGCAGCAGCTGGGGGGCCAGGGGGCGGCGCCGGGGGCCGGGGGCGGCCCAGGGGGGGGCCCAGGGCCGGGGCCCTGCCTGAGGCGAGAGCTGAAGCTGCTCGAGTCCATCTTCCACCGCGGCCACGAGCGCTTCCGCATTGCCAGCGCCTGCCTGGACGAGCTGAGCTGCGAGTTCCTGCTGGCTGGGGCCGGAGGGGCCGGGGCGGGGGCCGCGCCCGGTCCGCATCTCCCCCAACGGGGGTCGGTGCCTGGGGATCCTGTCCGCATCCACTGCAACATCACGGTGAGGACCCTCTCGCTTGCGCTTCTGTGGGGACCCCTTGTCAGGGACCCAGGATCACTACATCCAGCTTTTTGCTCTCGAAGGACCTGGGAGGCCGAAGCCCCTCTCAGGGCTCAGCTTTTCTCTCCAGGTTACACTTGTTTCTGCTGCTTGAGGTTCTGCGGTGCCCCCAGAATCTCTACCACTGACCCCGATAGCGAGGGACACCCCGACATATGGCGCCTAGACTACCCATTTCCACGAACCCACCCACATCCCAAGGTTCATGATTTTGGCTTTTTTGGCTACTCTTCCACAACTTTAACTTGCCACCTAGTAATGCGCCTTTCTTTCCCTTACTCCTGTTTCAAGGTTTTAGGCCTCGGCACTGACCCCAGCTGGAAAGCCCTGGCCTGGAACACTCTGCACATTTCAGTGATGCCCCCTTCTCAGTAGTACCTCTGACTTAGGACGTTGCCACCTGTGGGATCCCCGCCTAGGCATCCCTCATGGAGCCCCTCTTGCTCTCTGAACTTCATCAAGTCATAGTTTGCAGTTCACTGACTCTTCTTTCTCTGGATTCCCTCTTTCTGGTGTAACCTCTAACTCTCCTCTTTTTGCCTCAGCTGGTAGCAGTTGTGCCACTCCCCTCCCTGTTCCCTGTGGATATGTCCAGTTGCCGTGGGTTGTTACCTTTCCTGGTAATGATAGTGATGTGATGTGCCAGGGCTACCCCTATTTCTTCTGAGCAGTAACAGTTGCATTTCTCCCCTGTGAGCGTCATTCTATCCTAGGCATACACCTTACATGTCTCCTGCCTGGTCTACCCGCAGACATCCCTTGAACAGAGAACTGGCTTCTGCTAATTTGGGAATGTCTGGTACTGCATGGTGTAGCACTTACATTGGTTGATGTTACCTGCTGTGATGGTATTCTCTCTACCGGGAGCAGTAGCTGAAATGCTAGCAGACAGTACTTTACCCAAGCAGGCAGACCGAATCGGAGTAGCCTGAGGAAAGGCAGAGTTGTGAATTCCCTGGTACTTCGGTGCCTAAATTCAACTGACATGGTGTTTTCTGTCCCTTTTCTCAATCAAACCAGGTCAAGGTTTGGTGAGGTAAGCCTCAGTTTGGATTGATTGGTGCCCCACCAAAACTCATACCATTTCATACCCCACTCAAACCATTTCTCTCATTTCCTTTCGTCTTTCCTGCTAACAAGTTAGAATTGAAGGGCTAGGAGTGGCTTAGTCAAGTGAAGACTTGGGCATCTTTGATAATTATTTTTCCTCCAGCATTGAGGATTAGAGCCATGGCAGTGCTGAGATACCCAGTAGAGGTGGATAGGGATTCCTTGGCTTGTGTGGGAACCTCAAGAGTTAATTTTGTTCCTGAATTAAGCTTCTAATTCCTTAAGGGTAGGTTTGCCCCCATCCAGCTGCTTTCTGTTGCCTGAGGCCATTTACTGCCTTTGTCTCTGGCAGGAAGTTAAATTTAGGGGGTCCTCAGCCAGACGCTCCTTGGCCCCTATAAAAGAGACTTGGCCTAAACTAGCCCCCTTGGTTTGGGCAGAGGGGGAGTCTGGTCAGGCTGCATTTGGCACCGTGGCTCAGGAATGCTGGGAATGTCAGCAGCGTAGGCTTCTTTCTCCCAGCCTGCCATGTGGAGCCCTGCAGCCCACGCCTGGACTGAGAAGGTGGCAGGTTCCCAAGGGAGAGGTGGGGAGAATTGGTCTTTGAGGGGTTCTTCTGGGAGTGGTGTGGAGTGGTTCTTGCCAGTACCCTTTTACTCTTGGTTTCTAGAGATAGAGTCGAGTTTTTATACTTCTTTTCCTACTGAACTCTGCTTTTTTCACTTCAGTGTGATTGTGATGAGGTGATCCCTTACTCAGCTGATTCTGGAGTTTGAAAAGCAAGCTTGGAGGACTCTGTTCTGGGTCCAGGGAGAACTTGAAGTCTGGAACTTGTGTAGGCAGTGCAGGAGATCAGAAGTCCCCCCTCGCTGTTAGCTAAGTTTGGCTGTGCCGGGTTTCCTGGTTTGTACTCTTGAGGAAAGAAAGAAAAGGTCCCAGCCTGCTTCTCGGAAAGAGTCCTCCCAAGGACATTTTTTTTCCAGTTTAGGATTTGTTGTGAAAGTGCTTGGTTAGATGCTGACCTGAATTGGGTGTTTATGGGTTTTTGGGGGTGGGGGTGGGAAGCAAAGGGGCTAGAAGTCTTGGGGGGAAGAGGGCAGGCAAAATCTGGTTTTTTCCCCGAGTCACCCATTTTGATTGCTTTTGTTGCTCTTTTCCCCTCAGGAGTCATACCCTGCTGTGCCCCCCATCTGGTCGGTGGAGTCGGATGACCCTAACTTGGCTGCTGTCTTGGAGAGGCTGGTGGATATAAAGAAAGGGAATACTCTGGTGAGGGGGCCACAGGGTAGGGGTGCATTTTATTACTGTGAGGCTCATGCCACAAAGGCGTCCTATGAAAGGGATCCTGAAAAGTGGATGGTACAGGCAGCTAAACATTTAGGGGCCGACCTCCCAGGGGAGTTGCTTACTGAAGCCAGATGGAGACCCTGCACCAGCCCTGGGATTGGTCCATCAGGAGACCCATTCCCACAGCCACATGGCCCATAAGGCTTAGAGAACTAGGTATTGGTTTGGGGCCCAAGCTAAGAGCTCATCCATGCACTTGTCCAGATTGGAGTGGGGAAGGGAATATTTGATGTCTCTGTGGTCCCCTACCTGTAGCTATTACAGCATCTGAAGAGGATCATCTCCGATCTGTGTAAACTCTATAACCTCCCTCAGCATCCAGATGTGGAGATGCTGGATCAACCCTTGCCAGCAGAGCAGGTGAGCAGCTGAGGGTGGGCCCTGTTGTGCAGAATTGCCCCACAGAGAGTACTCAGTAAATAATTGAGACAAATCTGCAGTAGTTTCTCTCCATGCCCACCGGCTTCCGAACACATACATGTGATGACTCTCACCCTCGTTCTTCTCCGATGGGAATCTTCTCTTGCTAAATGGGGCACTAGTAGCTTTATCTCTCATATCAGAACTCACTCTCATGGGCAGCATCCTAAATGTTGAAAGGGAGGGGGAATTTTTACTATTATTTTAGCAGTAACAGTTGGTGGCCACTGGGGACCTAGGCCCCTTGGTGAGAACCACAAATGCAGTATCAGTCTAAAGAAGATCAAGTAAAGGAGGGGTTCTTAGGAAAATTAAACTGAGATTTATGAGGTGGGTGACAGAGATAGCCATTTTGCTTTTCTTTTATTCTTTGGCAGTGATAGGCGGAAAATAATGGGCTGGTAGCAAAGCCACTCCCTGGGCTCTTGCTTCCACTCAGATGTGGCTGGTGGAGGGACTGGCAGCATTACAGGCAGGCGCACAGCTTCCAGACCTGGGGGCCCAGGAGAGTAGGTTGGAGGCTGCATTCTAGCAAGCCACTGGGGCTCTGATCTCTATCTTTCCCCTCCCCGCTGCAGTGCACACAGGAAGATGTGTCTTCAGAAGATGAAGATGAGGAGATGCCTGAGGTAGGCTTGCCCCCTGAGGTGGCATGGGCTGGAAGCTCTTTCAGTCAGCAGCGTTGATCACCCATTATCCAGAACTTCAGTCTCTCCATTTCTCTAGAAATGGAGAGAGAAAAATATCAAATGAATAAAGGCAGGTTGACTGATCTGGAGGAACAGCCAGTGTAGTAGAGGAGACAGGGCACCCATATCCAACAGGTACAAAGCAGTTAAAACCAAATACTTGATAAGTTAATTTCAAATGGCTTTGGAGTCCAACAAACCTATGTTTGCATCCCAGCTATCCTAATTGAAGAATTTTATATAATCTCACTAATCTACAGTTTTATTATCTATAAAGTAGGATTATAATACCTAATACGTATGGTTGTCTTGAGATTAAGTGAGGTGTTAATATATAAAAAGCTTCAGACGATACACGATAAGTGCTAAACAATCTATCTGATATATTCTCTAAAAACGTACTTGTACAGAATATAAAATCATAGTTAGGAATTTGAGCTTTAGAGCTAGACAGAACTTGATTGAATCTTAGCTCTGTTAAGAGTTCTGTGACTTTGGGCATGATAATTAACCTCACTAGACCTTGGCTTCCGCATCTGTAAAATGGATACTGATAGAATAATGATGTGGTGGTAGAAAGAATTAAATGAGTTAGCATGTACGGCACCTAGGACAGAACCTGCCACATAATAAACACTCAGTAGACCTTACCTGCCGATGTGATAATTAGGTTAGTGTATATCCTGCCAGAAATGGGGAGAGCACTCTGATTACTTTTATTTCCTAGCATTAGATTAATATCCCAGGTTCTATAATACCTTAAGGGTCTTGAGACTGGCAAAGGGCTGATGACACATGAAATTTACTCCTCCCAGACATTGGACAACCCTCTGGGCCACACCCCCAACATCTGCCTGAGGGGCTGAACCCTAGATATGGTCTCCTTCTCCCCCATGGTCAGTGAGTTAGCTGCTTGCTTACTTAAAGCGGGATGAATAAGGGGCTAAGTCTGTTCTTGACCTCTTCCATGTATCTCTCTGGAAGTCCTTTCTCATTTCCATCTGGCAGTGGGTGCCTCTGCATATCCGATTCATGCTGTGCGTGCCCTCAAAAAAGATTTGTAGCAAGGAGAGGAGATTTAATGATCCAGGTTTCTCCTTTAGGCTTGGGGCCCTGAGAACTCCCAGGTGCAGTAGTCACCCGGTGAGATACGAGCTTTGAGTCACAGGGTCAGGCCCGAGTCATTTCTGCTAGGAATTAGGGAAGAGTTTCTGCTGCCAAGATTTAGGAAGAGTTGGAGCAGGGTCAGTCTAGAAAACAAAAGGGCTAAGTCCCCGCCTTGGTCTCAGCTGCAGCTCTGCTCGCTCCCTAAGTTCTTGCTTAGCTTGAGAGCTGAAGAAGAGATGAGATTTGCCTCATCCTTTAGATTGTGGAGGGAATAGGGCTGGAAATTATTCTAAAAATGGGACGTGTGTTGTGTGTATGAGACTGCTGGATGGACTGCTGCACCTTAACTTTTGGCTCTTTGCCAGATGGGACTGAGAAGGTGATGGCCATTCTCTAACCTGAATTTTTTCCTTTTCATTTCACTCCCACCCAACACCTCCCCCAGGACACAGAAGACTTAGATCACTATGAAATGAAAGAGGAAGAGCCAGCTGAGGGCAAGAAATCTGAAGATGATGGCATTGGAAAAGAAAACCTGGCCATCCTAGAGAAAATTAAAAAGAACCAGAGGCAAGATTACTTAAATGTACGTGCCTTCTAGGGAGAGGCTGGCGAAGGGGTTGGTGGGAAATGGCTGGGAAGTAGTAGGCTGTTGCATCTTAGTATGGAGAGAAGACTCCTTTTTGGGGGTATGCCTAATCCTTCCCTAAATCCTGGGTAAGCTGCCAGACTGCCCCTAAGGTCTAACGTGTGTTTATACACCACACGACCAAGGAATGTTCCTGTCATCCCTCCCTCACAGGGTGCAGTGTCTGGCTCGGTGCAGGCCACTGACCGGCTGATGAAGGAGCTCAGGGATATATACCGATCACAGAGTTTCAAAGGTGGTGAGTTTGCGCCAGAGAGGGGCCTGCACATGAGTCACCCATAAAGAGGGGTTTGGTGGCCTGGGACCCCAGAGGGCCTCGGATCCAGGAGTGCTTATGAACTTTTCAGGCCAAGGAGAATGGAGCTCTTCCAGCCAGTGGCTTGGTTGCATGTCCATCTGGGTCACCCTAGAGCTGTTGATCTTTTTCTCTCAGTCTGGAAAAGGAGTTTGCATTAGAGACTACTCACCACCTGGACCATCCTACTAACACCTGTCTTTTTCCTCCTTCTAGGAAACTATGCAGTCGAACTCGTGAATGACAGTCTGTATGATTGGAATGTCAAACTCCTCAAGTGAGTGGGGATTCTGGGATTGGAGAGGAAGTTGAGGAGGAGTGTGAGTGGGGCTACTGTGGGATCTCTGGGGCAGCCCCATCCAGCATTTTGGTTCAGGGTCCCGGAGCCGGTGTGGGCAGTAATTTGGTGGTCTGCTGCTAGCCAGGGTAGGGCCCTTATGAAGCTCCTGAGCCGGACCCAGGCAGCTGAGCCCAGGCTCGTTGCTTCATAGAGTTGACCAGGACAGCGCTTTGCACAACGATCTCCAGATCCTCAAAGAGAAAGAAGGAGCCGACTTCATCCTACTTAACTTTTCCTTTAAAGTAAGGCTTTTCCTTTCCAGTCACTCCCTCTGACCTCGCCGTCTGCCCGACAGTCCTGTGGAGGATGCTGGCCTCCCTCCCCTGACTATCATCCCTCTCTCTGTCTCTCTCTCTCAGGATAACTTTCCCTTTGACCCACCATTTGTCAGGGTTGTGTCTCCAGTCCTCTCTGGAGGGTGAGTGGCTGGCATGCAGAAGAGGGCATCTCCTCTGGCTGAGGGCGGGGAAGGGACTTTGAGCTTTTGTCAGGCACAGCTGACTAACCTTTCTCATGCAGGTATGTTCTGGGCGGAGGGGCCATCTGCATGGAACTTCTCACCAAACAGGTGAGCCCGTCTTCCTTGGCCAGGCTGCCCTGGGTGGGAGTTGGCTGAGCTTTACGGCACACACCCCTGCGGGCTGAGTGATAGGCAGTGATGTGGCCCTTTCATTCTGCTGGGCTGGGTCTGCACCCACTGACCTAGACAGGTGACAGTGCTGGGAGCAAAGGGCAAGTGTCGTCCTATATACCCAGCTGATTGCCGGGAGGACAAGTGTGAGCCTTCTCTGGAAGCTCCATCTGGACCTGCTTGCTTTGTTCCTCCCCTCACCCAGGGCTGGAGCAGTGCCTACTCCATAGAGTCAGTGATCATGCAGATCAGTGCCACACTGGTGAAGGGGAAAGCACGAGTTCAGTTTGGAGCCAACAAAGTAAGGATCCTGGGCCTGGGGCCGGTGGGGCTGGGTGAAGCCAAGTATACTTGGGGCCACTAGCAGGCCACGGCTGCTGCCTTTAGAGGAAGGAGAGCCTAAGGCCCCTGGGCTGGTGGCACTGGATGAGAGGGCCTAGGGTGCCCACGGTGGAACAACTGTGGTTTGGCCCCTAGGGGCACCCCTAGGACTTTTGGGAGGTTGTGGGTCTGGAAAAGGAAGACTGGGATTATGCCCCCAAGGGACCTCCTAGGTGGAAGGTACTTAAGTGTTTTACTAGACCACAGTGCTGGGAGCCCGGACTCCAGCGTTTCTGGGTGACAGCCTGCAGAAGGTGAGGGGCAGCTCACAGGCCACAGCTGGCCATGGCCTGATGTGTTGGCTTCCTCTCCCTAGTCTCAATACAGTCTGACAAGAGCACAGCAGTCCTACAAGTCCTTGGTGCAGATCCACGAAAAAAACGGTGAGGCTGGAGCCAGGACTCAGGAGATTCGGACACTTGCCACGTCCAGGTTTTCACTTCCAGCCAGAGCAAGAACCCCTTTTTCTGGTTTCTGATACTTACCACCCATTAACACAGCACCTGCTCCAGTTCTCCCAGGAGGGACTGGCAGTGGCTGGTGTTCACAACCTCTTCCAGAAACACACCAAAATGATCATATCACCGATAAGCTTGGCCGATAAGCTCCTCGGCCACCCTTTGAAAAGCTCATCTAACTCTCCCATCGTCTCAGGTTGGGCACATCATGCCCCTTTCTTTCTCATCGCCAGGTGTGCAGGTTCTTAGCTTCCCATACACCTCTCCCCACACCACGTAGCCTTTCCCCATATCCTCTAACCTCTCACACTGGAGACGTCTTCAGAGATTGGGGCAGGGCAGGGAGGGTGGGCCTGAACCTCCACCTCACTGACGGTTCCATTTCTTTGCAGGCTGGTACACACCCCCAAAGGAAGATGGCTAACCCTGGAGTATCACCCTTCCTCCCTCCCCAGGCACCACTGGACCAATTACCTTTGAATGCTGTATTTGGATCTCACGCTGCCTCTGTGGTTCCCTCCCTCATTTTTCCTGGACGTGATAGCTCTGCCTATTGCAGGACAATGATGGCTATTCTAAACGCTAAGGAAAAAAAAACAAACACACACAGAACTGTTTCAAGTACTCAAGACTGACTTACAGACCAACCAACCACCTTGCTGGAACCCTTGCTAGCAGGCATTCTTATAAAAGAAACTTTTGAGCCTCCTTATATTGCTGGAAACTCAGCTGTGCTCCAGACTAGAGCCTCCTTACCTATGCTATGGATTTTTAATTTATTTTCTCTTATTTCATGTACACTGCTTTTTTTGGTTACAGTGTATGATGGATGTGTATGAAAAAAATGTATCTTTGGGAAAACAATTACAGTTTGTTAATTTGAAGATGCTGGTCTTGACTCATCTTTATTTTTATTCGCACATCCCACCCCATCCCCTGAACTACTTGGGAGGTGGGGAGGGGTACGAGTCCACTGTTGCTTTGGTAGAGATGAAAGGCTGCGTTTTGCTGCTAAAGCAAGAGAAACGTGGAGCTGAAGCACACCTGGTCCGCCCCTAGATTTCGCCTCAAGGCCTCTGGAGCAACCAGCACTTGCCCCCTTGGAATGCAGAGCCTGGCCTGCTAAGCTACAATGTAGTAGGCTGAAAAGATGGTGTTAATTCTTAGGACTACTTTTCTAGTCACAGATGTTTTCAAATTTCTAAGAAAAAGAAAATGAGGCTCAAGAGGCTGCTTCGTAGAATTCCTTTTGAATGAATGGAGTGGGGATGGGGACACAGTCTCCGAGTGTGTATGTGGTCTTTTCTGATCTCAGCTGTGCGGCTGCAACTCCACTGTTCATTGGTTCCTCTCCTGGAAAGTGGCTTCTAACCAGCACCGGATGGTGATCATTGGTAAGCTCTGCTCACCTTCCTCTCTCTTGCTTCATTTGGTTTTGTCAAAAAGAACAGGCGTAGCTCTGAAGTTGTTTGGCTTGGAAAACTGTAGATTCTTTCGAGCCATTCCCAAAAGGGTTAGCTTTTTAAGGGGGGTTGTTCTATACACCTGTGTCCTTACCCCAGGCTCAGGAACTGCCAGGGAGGGAAGGTGAGGTGGGGAGTCTATACTGAGATGGAACTGTCAATGCTGTGTTGTACGTACTTGCTGTTGTAAAAGTTTGGGCATGACTTTGCATCTAGCGGGTGCTGCCTGCATCTCTGTCTGTAAGCTTGCTTTGGGACTGAGACAGCCTCTTAGGACCTACGATGCCAGCAGCTCTCAAAGATTGAAATGACAGAGGCCAAGGATGGCTAAGTGAAGACCCAAGTCTCAGAAAACCCAGACTTGGGACAGCTGCCTGGGAACTGTAGGATGCCAGGAGTTCTGCAATGCTTTGAGACACAGCGATGTTCACATTGGCCATTCTGCCCCCCCCACCCCTTTTCTTTTGAGGGACTTTAATGTTCGCTGCTTTAGGTGGATGGAGAGTCCACCAGTCCCACTCAATGCTGCTCTAACTCTACCCACACCCACCTAATTCGGGGTGCTAATAATATATGCTGAGGTTGAGATAAAGACGGGACACAAGGGGAAAATTCATTCCATAGAGCTGAAATCTGGTTTTCAAGGCCTCTGTGGCTTTCTTCTGAACTTAACACCAGCCCTGGCTGGAATGTAGATTGTGTTTTTAGTAATGTGTACTGTGAGCTGTCTTCTGTATAATGTATTTTGTAATGTATTTTTCTCATCTACCAAAGGATGAAACAAATAAAATTATTTAAATAGTTTGGCTCTAATAAAATTATTTGAAGAAATAGTGAGGTTCACGTTCACCTGACATAGAGGAAAATGCCTCCTCCTGTGAGCTGGAGAACACCAACTCTAAGAGAATCCTCCATTTTTCTTGCCAAACCCAGCACTCCCTTTTATGACCTTAAGTTTAGGGTTCTAACAAAGTGCAAAGTATAAAAAAGAATCAAGACCATGTCATCGTGAAACAATTTTCTTCTCTTCACTTAGAAGGCAAGGAGAAATGAAAACTCTTAGGTCATTACTCTACACTTTAAATGTATCTACATCCCAGGCAGGGTTTGCATGGCCCAGAGCCCACATGAGCAGGCTCCCATCTCACTGCAGCAGTTTTAGAGGGCAGAGCAGGGCAGTGGAAGGGTGGCTGGAAAGAAATATCCATCACTCCAAACTCATGAAACATGCCAACATTTATTTGCTCATTGGTTAATGTTACTCTACCTATTCTACATGGAAGGCCAGGAAAACTAGCACAGGGCTTCTCCGTTATCCAGAATCTGTTAGGACCACCTAGATCATGCTCTGGGGTGCAGAGAAGAGACACAGGAAAGAACATCCCAGCTGCCTCAGGCTTTCAACCTAATGGCAGCTTCCTAAGTTGGGTTCAAATGTCCATGCCAAGTTGGGGAACTGAAGACACATGACAAATGGGACTTCACTCTCTTTTGAGAGGTGAGCTGGGAGTAAAAGCAAAATGGAAATCAATCCTGGGCACAGTCTGGCCTTTTTCACCTCCCAGGCCTCAAGGGTTAAAGGGGCACAAGAGGGCAGGGCAGGCAGCCTCTGGATCCGTGGCACACAGGAGAGGGAACATGCTGAGGGGAGCCCCATTATTTAGACTCTTCAAACTTTAGGATGTGTGACTGGAAGAGAAAGAGAAGCCTTGATAGGTAGGTAGGTAGGTAGGTAGGTAGGTAGGAAAGAAGGAAGGAAGGAAGGAAACAAGGAAGGAAGGAAGGAAGGCAGGCCCACACAGCCAGTTCACCCAACCTCTCAGAAAACCAGCTTGTTTGATCTAAGAGAATGCCAGGTAAATACTATATCCAGGCCTAGGCAGCAGCCGCTGCAGAGACCCCAAGGGCAGGAGTGGAGGGAGAACAGCCAAGTTAGATGCAGAGGCAGTTACCTCTGAGTTCAAAGCACCAGTGATTTTCCCTTTGAGGATTCGATGGACAACCTCATACGAACTCAAAATGTCTGCAAAACAAGACACAACAACAAAACCTCAGTGGCAATGGGCTGGGCAGGAGGAGCAAAGGAGGGAAGCAAAAGGCGGGGGCTGCAGGGCAAGTGCTGTAGCCGCCAGCCAGCTCCAACCAGCAAGTCTCTGCTAGTTCCTGCTAAATCCCCGCTGCCAGGATCAAGTGAGATGATAAATGCTGAAAAGGCAGCATGGGGGGAGGGCAAAATAACAGCAGATAAAGGGAGGAGGCACTTGTTAAAATAATTACAGGGATCTGGGATTTTTAACAAGAAATTCTGGTGGGGACAGAAAATCATGTTTACTGAACTTTGCTCTGAGTTTCAGCTGGAGAGAAGAAGGTTAAAGGCAGACATTTTCACCATGAGAAGCAAGCACTCTTACATGGCTGGAAACGGGAAGTGCAGGAGCTCAGCAAAAACCCAGCTTTCCTCCGGACCTTGTCCCCTACGCAACTCCCAACATCCCACCATATCCCCCAAACTCCGGGACTGTTTGTATGCATGAAATTGAATCACGAAGAGTCAGACCTAGGTTTCATCCCCAGCTAGGCCATTTTCTTGCTATTATATGAGTTCATTTCACTTTTCTGAGCCGTATTTCCTCATCCATAAAGGGAGGAAAACTGAACATGTGTCTGACTTATCTCTGGGCTGGGGACTCTGGTCCTTCTGACAGGCTGGGAGCTGCATTTTGAGACAGGAAGCTCCTCTTCCCTGGGTCACCTGAAGTAGCTCCTGATGCCTGGCTGTTCGCAGGCTGGGCAGCAGGGACCCTCTTCATGCAATGACTCAAGACAACCTCTGGGTGGTGCTCCCTGCCCACTGGGCACAAACCCCACCAGCCTCCCAGGAAGCCCCGGCCCTGCACTTTTGGGAGATGCCTTTCCATCTTTAAAAGACTTGTTTGTCTGTAAAATGTTTCCATCTCAGCCAAGCGTGAAAGCTCATGCCTGTAATCCCAGCACTTTGAGAGGCCAAGGTGGGAGGATAGCTTGAGCCCAGGAGTTTGAGGCTACAGTGAGTTGACTGTACCACTGCACTCCATCCTGGGCAACAGGGTGAGACCCTGCCTTTAAAAAAAAAAAAAAAAGAACTTTTCCATCCTACTTTCTGGGTATGTATGCTTCCTCCCCTCCACTTCTGACTGCCCCCTAAAGCATTCTTTTATCCTTTTACATTTCACCTAACTTTGATCTTAAGAAGGGGCCTCGGGCCGGACACAGTGGCTGACACCTGTAATCCCAGCACTTTGGGAGGCCAAGGTGGGCGGATCATGAGGTCAAGAGATTGAGACCACCCTGACCAACATGGTGAAATCCCGCCTCTACTAAAAAATACAAAATTAGCCAGGCATGGTGGTGCATGCCTGTAGTCCCAGCTACCTGGGAGGCCGAGGCAGAATTGCTTGAAACCGGAAAACAGAAGTTGCAGTGAGCCGGGATTGCGCCACTGCACTCCAGTCTGGCAATACAGTGAGACTCTGTCTCAAACAAAAAAAAAAAAAGAAAAAGAAAAAGAAGGGGCTTCTCCATTTCCACCTATGGGGAAACCCACAGGTGTCTGAGGCTAAATGAAGCACATTAAGAGAAGACCCTGAGTGCAGTGCTCTGGCCTCTATGACTGGCATTCCAGGGCTAGTTTTCTTCTACGGCAGAATCCTTTTTCCAGTGAATCTGAAGCAACATGCAAAGTGTGTAAAACTGATGAAAGCTGAGCAGCTCTGGTGGAAGCAGGGTGGGAAACCCACCCTCTTCTCTCCCCTCCCAGAGAACTCAGCCTTTGGGCAGCATCTGAAATCCCTCCTGGGATCTTGGGGCTCCAGAGCCCAGGGATGAAAACCAATACCGGAGAAGCAGCTTTGCTAGGGGGTCAGATGCTGAAAATCAGGGTTGGGTGGAAAGAGAGACTGAAGCACCTTGGCCGCCCACTATGCTGTTCCCCACTCAGGTCCCAGAAGCAGCCATGACATCTCCTGTCCCGAAACCCTCAGGAGGAGGGGAGAATATCTCACCTTTCTCCAGCATGAATGGCTGAGTCAGGGGTGGGATGGTCCAGAAGTCATCGCTGTCCAGGCTGCGCAGTGACTGCACAGGGATGGTGGCCAACTGCCCAAAATCAATGAACATGACCACAGCCCAGGTGTCCACCCTGTCCAGCACCCAACACCTGGCCAGAGGAAAGGGGAAAGACAAAGGAAAATCATTGCCCCCAGTGCCACGCGAGGCAGTCCTCGGCAAAGTGGGTGTGAAAGTGGAGGGAGGAGGCCGGGCGCGGTGGCTCACGCCTGTAATCCCAGCACTTTGGGAGGCCGAGGCGGGTGGATCACGAGGTCAAGAGATCGAGGCCATCCTGGTCAACATGGTGAAACCCCGTCTCTACTAAAAATACAAAACATT